TTCAATACGCTTAGCCTTTAAATTAGCTATTATCATCTAAGTATATTTGGTAAATCTTCATTTCTTCATTTAGAGTTTATCATTAATCGTTCTTTTTGTGTTCGTTGTTATTATAGAATATTTCGTTAGGGCGCACTTCCACGATAGCTTAGGAACTTACATAATTGTCAAGGATAAAGTAATGTATATAAATATACAAAACCTATCAGTTGATCTGAAATAGTGACGTAGAAATGACGTCAATGCAAAACTGAGGTGTCTTGCATGAAACCTGTGAAAATTGATCAGCCAAAAATAAAAACCTGTCCGCCATTGGAATAAAAATATAAAACTCATTCGTAATTGTGTCATCAGTGTTATGAAGCACTTATTAGCAACGTTATTATTTTATTTGGAAGCTTGCAAATCCAAACTTTCAAGAGGAAAAAGACACCTCAGTTTTGCAAATTTTCTCTATTCTGATAGGCTAATATTTTTATTATATCAGCTGGTAATACATGAATTATGATGACTTGAGATCTCCCTTCACTTTTCATACCTGTAAAGAACGTCGTAAGTACGCTGCCTGTTGTTCAACCAAAGTCTAGACTGAACTATGATGACTTGAGATCTCTCTTCACTTTTCATACCTGTAAAGAACGTGGTAAGTACGCTACCTGTTGTTCAACCAAAGTCTAGACTGAACTATGATGACTTGAGATCTGCCTTCACTTTTCATACCTGTAAAGAACGAGGTAAGTACGCTGCCTGTTGTTCAACCAAAGTCTAGACTGAACTATGATGACATGAGATCTCCCTTCACTTTTCATACCTGTAAAGAACGCGGTAAGTACGCTGCCTGTTGTTCAACCAAAGTCTAGACTGAACTATGATGACTTGAGATCTCCCTTCACTTTTCATACCTGTAAAGAACGTGGTAAGTACGCTGCCTGTTGTTCAACCAAAGTCTAGACTGAAGTATGATGACTTGAGATCTGCCTTCACTTTTCATACCTGTAAAGAACACGGTAAGTACGCTGTGTATTGTTCAACTAAAGTCTAGACTGAACTTAGTTGTAATAAATTCGAGTGGAGCGGCGTTTTAACCATGAACTCCAGTGTTGCATCGTCATCGATGGCCCACAGAGACGCTACCACTGCATGAGCACCTGACGCTAGAAAGGCTCGACACATGCCAACTCACATGCTAATATGTTGACTTGTACAGGGCACGGTAAAATCACCTCATCCTACGCCTTATCTTATATTTAGATTTGATGATATGAGCAGCTGAAAATATATCAGTTGTCTTCTGAACTAAAAAAGGCAGCACTTGTCATTATAATGATAAGAATGAAAAATGTCATCATTATGCTATGTTTTCAGTATTCTTTAACAATTGATTGTGACATCTTCACCCATGAGAAAGAATGGTGCCCAGTACTTTGGTTCGCTGTAGCCGGAAGAGTTCCTGATTTCATTCATCGCTTGATGTAAACTTACACTCGCGCTCTTTCCGTCCATTAAGCGAGTATAGAATCTAAACATGAAATCGCATGTTGCTCCATCATCGATGCCCCACAGAGACGCTACCACTGCACGAGCACCGGACGCTAGAAAGGCTCGACACATGCTAACTACTCCTTCAGCTCTGATTTCACCACGTCCACTGTGACAGCAGCTTAACACAACTAACTGTGCACGTACTTTAGCCTGCTGTACATCAGCCATGGTCAGCATGTAATCTTCTTCATCTGGGATCTTTGTTGCTATTACCTCAGGAGAAGGTGCAAGTGCTATCGTACCTTTAGTGAGACTGCCGTGTGCAGCGATATGAACGAAAGCTACTCCTTCTTTTAGTCTCTGGATAACCGCTTGTTTTGTAGCCTTCTCTCCTGTCAAAGGCGTCGCATTGAATACATTGCCTACTGCGATCGCTTCAGCAAACGCATTATCCAAAGGATCAAACTCTTTCTCTTCACCATCGAACATGACTTTACCAACAAGAGGATTTCCAACAATTAAGGCGCCTTTCTTGGAATAATAATCTTCTGTGCGTTCTTGCAACGCCTTTAAAGTCGCTAATGAAGGAGCAAGTCTAATGCGCTTTGTCTCTGATAAATACTTTCCCGTGCGACGATCTCGTAATGCGGGAAAAGGTACTTGGTATAAGGGACCTTCAGGAATAATAACAACCTCGTCTTGCTTCGACGATAGTATTCTATCACATTCTAAGATATCAAATAGATCTTCTAGAGTAGATCCCTTGGTTTCAGCACTATTCTCATTAGATTCTCCTCTGTTAGAATCGAGGTTCAGCAGTAATGCCGTTGCTTGATTAAGTTCCTCGTTTTCTTCTATACATCTTCTTTGTTCTTTTTGAATATCTTCCTCTTTGTCCAAAGACCTGTTCTCACAGTCAACCACCTCACCAACACCCATTTCGTCAAACAACCTATCGATGTATATCTGTACGGAATGATTAGGACAACCTGAATAATGCAAATTTGTCTCCCCTCCAAGAAAATACTTCAGAAAACCATTACCACAAAGTGAGTAAAAGGCAATGCTGAAGTCATTTCTTGAGACCAGAGACAAAACATCGCTGTACTCTAGGTGTTCATCATTGCTCTCCTCTTGTTCCATCTTGAAGTTTGACATCATAAGATCTTTCAATGCTCTTGCACGACAACGATCTAACACTAAAACCGCTTCCTCGATCTGTTTGCCTTTGATTAACAGTATTGCCAACAGCTTATAACTATTGACATATTTGTCAAATATGGAGATCTTGAATTCATCACGACTACCAAGTGTGGTAAAGATCGCTTCAAAGCATCGTATAGCTTCTCTTAGATAATGTTCTGCCAAGCTCAGTTCTCTGTTTAATGAACACAATAATTGACCCAAGCCATGATAGAATAGGGATAGCTGCCCAGTATCAGACCAAGACTCAGCAGTAGGTAGCCCTTGTTTGAAACTGTGTAAAGCTATGTCATTCTGACCCATCAAATGATACAAGTTTCCCATTTCTGTGATACAGAACAAGTTCACAGAACAATCAACGTTCATCTCTTTAAACCGCTGTAGGCAATTGATTGTTTTTACATATTCTTTTCTAGAACGATAAAATTTGTAAAGCCTCATGAAAGCTCTGGATTTCTTCTTTTTATCGCCTGTCTTCACCGCTTGGTCAAGATCCTGTAATAACTCATCTTCAGAACATGTTGGTACCTCTATTAATTCCTTTAATAAGGGTGCATCCACCTTGTTTTGCAAACCAACTGTGCAATAAAGACTAGAACGAATCACATTGAAGTTTTCTTCAGCTTCTTTGTCTCCAAGCTCTGTAGCAATCGCCATGCCAGCATCCATACTCAAAGACGCTTCATTCAACTGCATCGAGTCTATATATGCATGAGCGAGACAATGATATCCGTCCATCTCAGTATTTTTGTCCCCAATTTCTTGAGAGATCTTCAGGCCTTTGTTACMGTATTGGATGGCATTATCCATGCTTTCCTTATCAACTAATGTCCGGTATAAACACGAAAGACCTAGACATGCTTGTGCTTCAATCTTTTTCTCGCCAGTTTCTTGTGCCATGTCGATGCATTTCTTATAGTAATGCACTGCATCATTATACTGATCCAGTGTCTCATATATCTTTCCTAGATACAAAAAAGCATTTACCGCTGGTTTCTTCTCGAAACGAAAACGCTTCACGATATCGATGCATTGCTTGAAATTTTGAATGGCATCATCGTATTTCTCCAAGGAAATATATATCTCTCCAAGTAAGCTATAAGCCTGAGCCTCCGCACGTTTTTCGSCAATAGTTACTGCAAGCTCAATACATTTCTTGCAATAGATAATTGCATTGTCGTAGTGGGAAAGAGCGTTATATATCTGCACCATTAATAGGTAAGCCTCGACTTCAACACGTCTGTCTTCTATTTCCCTCGCTATTTCAATGCATTTCTKTMCAAAGTCAGTGGCATCTTGATAGTGATTCAAGGCATAATGTGCTACTCCTAGCTCTAAGTACGCCTCCATCATACCCTCCTGATTGTTGTTTTTCATGGCGCAATCAAGGAGCTTGTGCGCATAATGAATAGTGTCATCATATTGCTGAATGTTTGCATATGCGACCATTATGTAGTCATATGCAACCATCATGCCTTCGGGACTATCAATTTTCTGGGCAATTTTAAGACATTCTTCGCCACAGTCAATAGCATCATTATAACGAGCTAAGGACAAAAATGCATGTCCCATTTCATGATGTCCATAGATTTCGTTTTCTTTATCGCCTATAGTTTGAGCAATTTCGATCATTTTCTCAGCGTGCAAGACAACGTTGTCAAACTCGTTGAGCTTCATATATGTGAAGGACAAATGTTTACGAACTCTTAACTCATAACATRKTATTGCTWCAGCTAACGGTAATATTTCCTTCAGACACCTCAGTGATTCAGCATGTCTACCTAAGCTGTTGCTATGCACTACGAACACCACGCATGAATTCATCATGGTACTTATATCATTACAGTGTTTAGCCATCTCTATGCATTCTTTGCACAGACAAATCAGCTGTTCAGTTGACAGTCCAAGTTCCTCTGGCAACATGGAGGCAGACGCACAGCAAAACCTTACAAAAGTAGTCTTCTTGAACATATCCATCTTCAGCTTTACTTGTTATTCAACATTCATCTAAAATCAAACAATAAGTTGATAATTAAACAAGCATAAAAAGAATGAKTAAATGAATAATAATAATTTTTAATACTAAAAATTGAAATAAAGAAAAACAATTTTTGTATACATCAGTGGCAGATCCAGAAAATTTTAGAAGGGGAGTTACAAAGGTTTTACCAGGAATACCAGGAAAAGGGGGGTGGCTTACTAAGGATAATACTGAGAAATATGAGCAAAACGGTGAGGGAAGGGGATGGTGACTAGTCACCCCCTTCACCACCCCTGCATCCACCCCTGTACGTAAATAATAAGATATGAATTATTGAAAATATTA